TTGCCCGTTTCGATATTACCAAAAAAAAAAAAAAAAAAAAAAAAGAAAGAAAAGAGAAAAAATCCTCTGTTTCAAGACTTAACATTTGACTTACAGATACTTTGCTGATCATTTTGGTCTAGTCTCCTTTTTTTTTTAACTCTAGAACGGGTAGTAAATGATTGTGCCACACTTTTGAAGAACTTAGGAAGGGGTCTGAAAACTCCAAGTAGAAATGTTTTCCCTTATAGAGGTGTCTAACTGATGTCCTTTAAATGTTTCAGCCCATCGATGGGATACATGACAAGGGGATTGTAGAAGACATCCATTGTGGATCCATGAAGGGCACTGGTATGCGACCACCTCACCCAGGCATGGGCCCTCCCCAGAGTCCAATGGATCAACACAGCCAAGGTTTGTGTCAGCTACACACCTGATACTGGTTCCCCAGCATAGTCTTTCAGTCTTTCCTGTTGGATGTTTTAATTGTGACTTCCAAAGAATGTGTCTAAGGAAGATCAAATCCAGCAGGGTTTCTTTTCCTTATAGAAATCTACCTCCATCCTCACCAATACAATCTGATGATTTGTATGGGAAATTTTATTTCTGAAGTCCTAGTAATTTTACTAGCCATCATGTGTGCAAGCAGTCTGCAAAGTGCTCTGTGTACTTTATCCAGAATCTTTATCGTAATCTTTTAAGGTGAATTATGTTATCCCAGTTTTATAGATGGAGAAGATAAAGCTGGACAATTTACTTTGTTTTGCTAAGTTTACATGTCCAATCGGTGAGAGGGCCAGAAAGAGAATCTAGGCCTGCTTCCCAGCAACAGTGTAGATGTGAAGGTAAGGTGAACCACCCGTGTCCCTTAAATTGCATGCTTATCCATCGTCTATAAGGCAGCTTTATCTGGCAGTGAAATTATATGTCATTTCTGGTGGGTGGCTAGGCCTGTCATAGCAAATTACCACAAACAGAAATGTATTTTCTTATATAATTCTGGAGGCTAAGTCTGAAATCAAAGCATCAGCAGGGCCATGCTCTCTCTGAGGCTTTGGAGAAGAATCCTTCCTTGCTTCTTCCTGGTTTCTGGTGGTTGCCAACAATCCTTGGCATTCCTGGACTTGCAGATGCATCACTGCAATCTCTGCCTTAGTATCCACATGATTTTTTTTTCTTGTCTGTCTGTCTGTGTCCAGATTTTCTTCTTTTTTTTGAGCCGGAGTCTTGCTCTGTCGCCCAGGCTGGAGTACAGTGGTGCATCTCTGCTCACTGCAAGCTCCGCCTCCCGGGTTCACACCATTCTCCTGCCTCAGCCCTCCCATGTAGCTGGGACTACAGGCGCCCGCCACCACGCTTGGCTAATTTTTTGTATTTTTTTTAGTAGAGATGGGGTTTCACCATGTTAGCCAGGATGGTCTCGATCTCCCGACCTCTTCATCTGCCTGCCTCGGCCTCCCAAAGTGCTGGGATTATAGGTGTGAACCACCGTGCCCGACCCAGATTTTCTTCTTTTTATGGGGACCATTCATTGGATTAGGGCCTTCCCTAATGCAGTATGGCCTCATCTTAACATGATTACAGCTACAAAAATACTGTTTCAGGCCGGGCCTGGTGGCTCAAGCTTGTAATCCCAGCGCTTTAGGAGGCTGAGGTGGGCAGATCATGAGATCAAGAGATCGAGACCATCCTGGCCAACATGGTGAAACCCGGCCCCAACAAACACACAAAAATTAGCTGGGCGTGGTGGCGCATGCCTGTAGTCTCAGCTACTCAGGAGGCTGAGGCACGAGAATCGCTTGAACCCGGGGGCAGAGGTTGCAGTGAGCCGATATTGCACCATTGCACTCCAGCCTGGCGACAGAGCAAGACTCCGTCTCAAAAAAAAAAAAAAAAAAGAAACAAAATACTCTTTCAAAGTAAGGCACATTCCCAGGTACTAGGGGTTAGGACTTCAACATATTTGGAACACAATTCAATTCAACTCACAACAATGGCTAAAAGAAATACGGCATATTTCTTTTCTTCTTCATACGTAACAAGTCCTCTTTCTTTTCCTCACTGTTGAAAACTCTTCAGGTACCTCAAAGCCTTTTAATATAATGTAGCCTGATTTCAGAGTCATTATGTGGTCATTTCAACATGTGACGGGCATGAGTTAATCTAGCACTAATTGACATTAATATGTAGATATTCTAATTCAAGGTTTATGGTTTATGTGTTGCTGTATATAATCTTGTGTAATTAATGTGTGTGTTTCCTCCATCCATGATCAGATATCCATCTACCCGAGGGAAGACTTTTGGCTGTGAGGATTTAGAGAAGTCTAAGCACAGTTGTTTCCTTTTGAAATATAAATAAGCAAGTCGTGGAGGCATAGGAGTGCCTCCCCACTAATATTTGAACAGGCTTTTGAACATCCCAGACTCTTATCTGAATTTTAGTGGCAGGCAGGCATAATTGTTGCAGATAACTCATAGAATCTTGACCATGTCAGAAGAGCAGCCTAAAGCTCTGGGACTTTTTGCTGTATAAGAAGAAAAAATTTGACTCCTTCACTGTTATGAGTGAAGTAAGACAGTATTTCCAGGCTTATCATTTAAATTTGAAGGGGCCAAGTATATTCATATATATATTCATATATATATATATTCATATATATA